CTCCGTTGCGCCTTAGTATTTGACCAACAGCCCATTAGCTACCCCTCAGATCGAGCTAAGGTCGCTTACACCATCAATCTGTTAAGAGGTAGGGCCGCGAAGTGGGCTACAGCCGTCTGGGATAGGGACTCACCTCTGTTCACTTCTTACGCCCGTTTTTCCGAAGAGCTCCGGAGAATATTTGATTTTCCTGTCGAGGGCCCCGAGTGTACCAAACGGCTATTTTCCCTCACCCAGAGCTCTCGGTCAGTGGCGGAATACTCCATTGAGTTCCATACTGTGGCGGCCGAGAGTGGGTGGGGGGACCTCGAGTTAAAGGGGATATTCACTCGGGGTCTCTCTGAACAATTGAAGGACGAGCTAGCGACTCGTGATGAGCCCTCCTCCCTGGAGGAGCTAATAGCGCTAGCTATTAGAATTGATAATCGCCTCAGGGAGAGACGGAGGGAGAAGAAAAAACATTCCTTAGTCCCTAGAATAGACTCCCCTTCCTCTGTTGCGGTCAGCGGGTCTCCTCTGCAGCCCTCAGTCTTCCCGGATCCGGCGCCATCTGCAGGTGAACCCATGCAGATCGGCCACACTAAGCTTCACCCGGATAAACGGAGAAGGAGGGTAGAGAAGAGGCTATGCATCTATTGTGGCCAGGCCGGTCACTTTCTAACCAACTGCCCAAACAAGTTAAACGGCCAGGCTCATCCATGACTGAGGGCACACTGATGAGCCATACCTCCTCCGTTGCCAGCTCTCCCAAACGCATCCTGGTACCTGCTTGTCTCCTGTGGGGAAAGGAGTCCACTTCCCTCCAAACCCTTATTGACTCTGGGGCGGATGATAACTTCATTCATGCTGGACTGGCAGCGCGGCTTCAGCTCCCCCTGGAGGAACTCCCGGCTCCCCGTAAGGTCACCGCTCTCGATGGCAGAGTTATAGCCTCCATCACCCACTGCACAGCTCCTCTCACCCTCATCCTCTCCGGAAATCATCGGGAGGACATCCGGCTGTTCCTGCTTCCATCTCCTCACTCTCCCCTGGTGCTGGGACTCCCTTGGCTACAAATCCACAACCCTCAGATTAACTGGTCCACATCTTCAATCTCCGCCTGGAGCTCTCACTGTCACTCCCACTGCCTCCGCTCCGCCAATCCTCACATCCACCGACAGAGGTCAGCATCTCCACTGCCATCTCTCACCTCGGTTCCCCCCGTCTACCATGACCTAGCAATGGTATTCAGTAAGGAGCAGTCTCTCATTCTTCCTCCTCATCGCCCCTATGACTGCGCCATAGACCTGCTCCCTGGAGCCCCTCTTCCCAGTAGTAGACTGTACAACCTCTCTCGGCCCGAACGAGAGGCCATGGAGGACTATATTCAAGACTCCCTGACCTCAGGACTCATCCGACCCTCATCTTCTCCCCTGGCTGCTGGTTTCTTCTTCGTGAAGAAAAAAGATTCCTCTCTCCGTCCCCGCATTGACTTCCATGGATTAAATGATATCACCATTAAAAACAAATATCCCCTACCACTCATTGATCCCTCCTTCGAACCTCTCTGTCAAGCCACCATCTTCTCAAAACTGGACCTCCGGAATGCCTATCACCTGGTTCGCATCCGGGAGGGGGACGAGTGGAAGACGGCCTTTAACACACCCATGGGCCACTTCGAATACCTGGTTATGCCCTTTGGCCTCACCAACGCTCCTGCTGTGTTCCAGACCCTCATTAATGATGTCCTCCGCGACATGATTAACAAGTTCGCCTTCGTCTACTTAGATGATATTCTGATCTTCTCCCGAAACCTGGAGGAACACCAGCAGCACATCCGACTCATCCTTCAGCGCCTCCTCGAAAACCGCCTTTTCGTGAAGCCCGAAAAGTGCGAGTTCCACGCCTCCTCCGTCAGTTTCCTTGGTTACATCATCGCCCAGAGGGAGCTACGCCCAGACCCAGAAAAAGTCTGCGCTGTCCGTGACTGGCCCACCCCCTCCTCCCGCAAAGACCTCCAGCGATTCCTCGGCTTCGCTAATTTCTATCGACGGTTCATTAAGAACTACAGTAAGGTCGCAGTTCCCCTCACCCGGCTCACATCCCTAAAGGTTCCATTCTCCTGGACCCCCGAAGCAGACGCCACCTTCCATCATCTCAAATCCCTCTTCATCTCCGCCCCGGTGCTCAAACACCCAGATCCCTCGCTTCAGTTCATGGTGGAGGTCGACGCTTCGGACTCTGGAGTAGGGGCCGTCCTCTCACAGAGGGACTCTCAGACCCAGAAGCTTCATCCTTGCGCCTTTTTCTCCCGGAAACTCTCAGCCACGGAACAGAATTATGACATGGGAAACCGTGAATTACTGGCTGTCGTGTGGGCACTGCAAGAATGGAGACACTGGCTGGAAGGAGCTTCCCAACCGTTTCTAATCTGGACAGACCACAAGAACCTGCAATACCTCTGCTCCGCTCGTCGCCTCAACCCCAGGCAAGCCCGCTGGTCCCTTTTTTCTCGGCAGATTCAATTTCACCCTCTCCTATCGTTCCGGCTCCCGCAACCTCAAACCAGACGCCCTCTCTCGGATCCACGCCTTGGATACTCCGGACCCCAGTGAACCAGACACCATCCTTCCCGCCTCCTGTGTCGTCGGCTCCGCCACCTGGGAGATCGATACCATCGTGGACCAGGCCCTCCGGAACCACCCAGACCCCGGAACCAGCCTGCCGGACAGAAAGTTCGTCCCTGAGGTCGCACGCTCTCAGGTCCTACAGTGGGGGCACTCCTCCAAGCTCACCTGCCACCCCGGGTTTCAACGCACCCTCCAATTCCTCCAGCAGCGGTTCTGGTGGCCGGGGATGGTCCGGGACGTACGGGCGTTTGTTGCTGCCTGCTCCGTCTGTGCCCGAAGCAAAGCCTCCCACCAACCTCCGGCTGGCTTGCTGCGTCCTCTGCCTGTGCCTTCACGCCCCTGGTCCCACATAGCCTTAGATTTCGTCACTGGTCTCCCTCCCTCTGAAGGTAACACAGTCATACTCACCATCATTGACAGATTCTCCAAATTTGTTCACTATGTCCCTTTACCCAAGCTCCCATCTGCCTTTCAAACTGCTAACCTCCTAGTCACTCATGTATTTCAATTACATGGGATTCCCCGTGACATCGTGTCAGATCGTGGTCCTCAGTTTTCCTCTCAGGTCTGGAAAGCTTTCTGCCAGGCAGTGGGCGCAGCAGCTAGCCTCTCCTCGGGTTACCACCCACAGACCAATGGCCAGACAGAGCGGGCTAATCAGAACCTCGAGTCGGCCCTGCGGTGTGTGGCGGCCCATCATCCAGCGTCCTGGAGTACGCACCTCCCGTGGATCCAATACGCCCATAACTCCCTCACCTCTTCAGCCACAGGTATGTCCCCTTTCATGTGCTGTTTTGGGTACCAGCCCCCCCTGTTTCCCGAACAGGAGCAACCTGTGGCCGTCCCGTTGGTGAGGGAGCACATTGGGCGTCTACGGGAGGTGTGGAGATCGGCCAGGGCTGCACTCACCCGCACGGCCGAGCGCAACAAACGCCTGGCTGACGTTCACCGCTCTCCAGCACCAGACTATCGTCCTGGTCAGATGGTCTGGTCATCGTCTCGTGACCTTCCCCTGCAGACCGAGTCCCGCAAGCTGTCCCCCCCGCTTCATTGGTCCCTTCCCTATCCAGAAAATCATCAACCCTTCAGCGGTGAGATTAAAACTTCCCTCATCTCTCAAAATTCATCCAACATTCCATGTCTCCTTGTTAAAACCTGTTGCCTCGTGCACCGTGAGCCCTCCTTCCGTCGCCCCTCCACCCCCCCGATTGATTGATGACCACCCTGCCTTCACTGTAAGGAAAATCCTGGACGTGCGGCCTCGGGGGCGAGGCTTCCAATACCTCGTGGACTGGGAGGGTTACGGTCCAGAGGAACGTTCCTGGATCTCCCGCTCCCTCATCCTGGACCACCAACTCTTGGAGGAGTTCTACGCTGCCCACCCCAACAACCCCGGCAGAACGCCAAGAGGCGTTCGTTAAGGGGGAGGTACTGTGGTGAGACGCCTCCTCATCCTGTGTTATTTTGGCTGGACTTCCTGTTTTTCCCTGTTTGCCTGTTCTGGCTGTACTCTTTTCCAGAGCTTCCTCCCCTCCCCCGGCGCTGAGGCTGAGTGAGACGACACACCTGCTCCTCATCTCCAATCAAGGGACTTTAAGAAGCCTGCAGCCCTCAGTCTCAGCGCCTGAGTATTGTCTACCCTTCCTAGCAGTACAGACGCATCTCCTGGCCTTCGTCGTTGGTATAACGTTCTGAACTTTACTCCTTGTGACTCTTTGCATGTCCTTTAACTCCTGTCTCCTCTGGTTTCTCCTGCAGTGTCTCCAGCCCACACGACAGCCAGCCAACCAGCCAACCAACCGGACTTCCTTTGTTTCCTTATCTATCCCTTTCTGTTTTTGGACATTAAATTCGTTTTACGTTGAGCTCTGTCTCAGTGTCTGCTTCTGGGTCCTCACTACAAGCCTGCCTCACAACAATATGATCAGAACTGCGACAGTTAACTGATTTTTCAATTAGCAGATCAAGACAAAAAACAATCTGCAACAATTTTGATAATTTCAACATTTAAGTGAACAATCCAGAAAGTGATGAGCAGATTACACATACAATAATATAAGCAAACACACACTATTTAACCAAAATATCAGACATTTCTTAAGTGCAATACATTGCTGGTTGATGTACTGTAAGGTCAACTTTATACAAAGAAAAATCTGGTCAAGGGAATGAATGTGTGTGTATACAGACAGACAGTACTCCTCTGTTGAAGAGTACTTTGTATGAATATAAAACTAGCCTGGACAAAAATGATAGTACCCTTAACCAAATATTTTTCTGCACAGTCTTTTGAGCCAATCACTGCAGTCAGGTGACTGTGAAATATGGAACTGACCAATGTTTCACAGTAGTTCTTTTCTTGTTTGCTCCATTTTTCATCTGTGAACAATGAGTTTCTGGGAGAACGTCCTCTGGTCCCTGCTGATCCAAAACTGAAGCTTTTTGTCAGGTCACATCAAAAGCTTCAGTTTTGGATCAGCAGGGACCAGAGGATGTTCTCCCAGAAGCTTTGTGGACAGAGTACACAGAGACAACACTGGAGTCACATCAACTCATTGTTCACAGATGAAAAATGAAGCATATAAAGAGAAGACACACTGTACCTACTGTGATATATGGATCAGGCTTAGTTCTTTTCTAGGGTGGCTCTGCTGCACATTGCACAGTGTGTCTTGAATCTGCAGGGTTCAGTGAAATCTCAAGAATATCAAGGCGTTCTGGAGCAGTTTGCTAACCAGAAGTCGACACGTGCAGAAGTCTAACTGCAAGTTACAGAAATCACCTGACCCCAGTAATTGGCTCAACAACAACATTGTGCAACAAAAATATTAAGTTAAGATTAAGTTAAGGGCACCATCATTTTTGTCCGTGTGTGTGTGTGTGTGTGTTATTTGTACTGGAATTTTGCCCTTCTGTCCTTCTGTGTGGCAAAGCACTCAATGACCCTCTTATTGAAGTCAGAAATGTTTCTGACAAGTTTTTTCTCCATGGAGAGCATGGCCAGAGCATTCAGGTGATCCTGCATCATGGTGTTCCTGAAGGTTGTTCTCCATGAAAAACTAGAACAGAGTCAGTGCACCACTGCAGGCCTTGAACTCGTTGTTCTTATAGATGAGGGATAGCTCTGTTCTCAGCTTGGCTTTGTTCAACATGGGGTAGGCCTCCACTGCATCTGGGAACTCAGCATGTTGCACAAACAAGTCTCCATATAGCAGAGTAGCACTGATGAGGTGCTTGGTAAAGGAGAACTGCTCTTTGGCATGGCTCACAATGGTACCGCATACCTATGACATGATACATAAATAATAAAAAGGTAAATACACATAGTAAACCTTACCATAGTAAATAACGTCATCAGTATTCTCTTACAAGATGATATCAGCGTCTGCCTCCGTAGGTAGCTGCAGAGTGATTAAAAAATCACAGATGCCCCGTATTCCTCACTCAGAGAAGGAATGGAGTCCCTATTTAGAAACACAGGTTAGCATCCACAATCACTCTTTCAAAACCTAATGTACTGGAGGCTTTTTTTTTGTTTTTACAATAATGATAAATAATTATTCACCTGATCTTTGGCATGCTGTTGGTGAATGTCTGGATGACTCCTGTGATGCAGACAGAGCCAATGTTCCTCTTCTGCAGCTGGTTAAACAGCATGTCCACATGTGGCAGGATCTTGTGAAACAAGGCCAGGAGAAAGCAGAAATCTTCTTCCTCCAGCATTCTCACAAACCTCCCTGCCTCTGACAGTGTTTGGATCGAAGTCACCAGAGTCTCTGATAGTTTGAAAACACTTGATGAGGTCATCCTTGTGTTAAAACACTGTGTTAACAACATGGCTATGAACGTTCCACCTGTTTGTTGAAGTCCCTGGAAGTCTGTGAGCCACAATTTGGTCAAGCGCAGTGGTTCGTTTGAATGAGCGGGAGAAGAATGCAGCAAATCTGGGGATGTGTGATGTTGCCAGCTGCATGATGAGGTTGAGCTGATGGGCATAGCAGTGAATGTAGGGTGCACCTGCGTAAACATCCTTTACCTTCTGCTGCACTTCACCTGTGGCTCCCCTCATTACTGCAGCCCCATCATAAGCCTGGGCGATCAGCCGACTCTCCTGTCCGGGAGGGAGGATGATGCTTACTCTCTCCAACAGCACTGCGATTGTTGTCAGCGGCAGCATTCTGAAGAGGGATGAACTCAAAAAAACGCTCTTGAAGGTTGTGACAAGCACCAATGTATCTTAGCACAAGCACCAACTGGCAGCAGGTGGAAATGTCAGTTGTTTCATCAGCCTGTATAGCAAGATAATCCGCATTTTTTACTTCCTCAAGAATGTGGGTCTTGAGTAATGACAACATGCAGTCCAGCAGTTAGTTCTGCATGGTCTTTGAGGTGCCTTTGAAAACTGTCGCTATCTTCAGGTGCACGGTATCAAGCGATGCGACCAGATCGACTAATCCCCTAAACACACCGGGGTTGTCTGAAGATTCCGTTTCATCGTGGCCACGCAAAGCCAGCTCAAATGCCCCGCAGAATTTAATACAGCCTATTATCTTCGACAAAATTTGTTGGTTCCTGTCCACCTCTTCATTGTGCTTCCTTACACCAAGCCTGTGCCCTTCATCCCGTTGCATCGTGATGTTAGCTCTGCCTAGCATCATTAACTTGACTGTGTTCTCCATATGTGCCCTCGTACTCCCGTGCTTCTTTATCTTCTCAGGTAAATGTTTCATGTCCCTTTCTCCTGCAACAGTCCATGCTGTACCGGCGTACAGCCAGTTTGGTATTTTCATGGACTGAGGCGCAACGAGATCGACAGAATCAGCAGGCACAGTGACATTTTCGTGCTCGCCACCAGCATATAAAATGCGCTGAAAGCTCGCCGATTCAAACCTGGTGAGCTTTCAGCACAGGCGAAACGCAGCTGGTCTAGTGGTATTTTGGTAGACCGGCGGCATATCGGCATACGTCACCGATGGCTCACCGGCAGGTTTCCACAGTGTCAGGCACTTTTCCGTGCAATAAATAATCATCAACAACTAATAATCTGAGTCAGCACATACATTTAGAACTATATTGATATATTCTGATCTATATCTGATCTGATGGGCGCGTTTGGCATGTGTTTGGACACACAACCTAACCGAATCAACATAGCTGAAACTGCATTAAATTACATTAAATATCTAGTAAATAGACACACATGATGAAGTTAACAAGATATGTAATTCGTCTCCCTCCTTTTCTTTCTTCCTCTTCCTCTTATTTCTCGCGCAGCTCGACCTGGACATGTCTCTGTGTCCTTTCCCTGTCCTTTTTTGTTTCAGTGATCAGATGAGTGATTTACTTTAAGCCAAATACGAATAGTATAATATTCAGTTTTGTGAGCCAAAATTATTTTATATGCCAACATCTATGAAAGAAAGAGATGCGTTATTATGCACAGATGGTTCCGATTTTAATGCCAATTTTGGAATTTATGTTGCGATCTGTGCGCACAACCCACCTTTGTGACGTGAGGTTTGAATATATGCAACTTTATGTGAGTGTCTTTCGGAAAGGGATGTTTGTCTTACCAGTGGCTTCAACATTACACACACCAAATCCATCTGTGCTCATATGAGAGAGTGTAGAGGACGCCTTCTGCAGCGACACTTGTTGGGAGCTGTCTTCTGTCGCCATTGTGTGGCATTACTGTCTTCAGACATCTCTTGATCTCTGACTACTTCACGAAAATAGTAATACGCCTCACCGGTCGTGGATTTAAAGGCGAGGAGAGGAGCTGATTTTATTGGTCAATACAGGTCTCGGCTGTGTTAAAAACACTCCACGCCCTCTCTCCTCCCTCTCTACGACTTACGCCGGGCTGTGCCGCTCACCAAAATACCAAGTTGTGCTTGGGAACGCCTTGTCAGCGCGGTGGACCTGACTTACACTGCGCCTGCGGCACGTCTCTGGCAAGGCACGAAAATAGAGCCCATTATCTTGAATCCCCTCAGTCAGAGCCGAAAGGTGGGTGCTGGGGCTGTGAGTGCATGGCAGTGGAGGCAATAGGAAACAGAGGTAGTTCAAACTGCAAATCTTGCAGGGCTGACACAGGGCCCAGAGGAGAGATATAGCAGCAGCCAACCACTACCAGGTTCCCATGAGACAGGCCCTTGCAACCACAGCTGACCACTGATCCTGGTGCAGAGGGCTCCCCCAGAGGAAACACTGGTGGTCCTAAAAAATGAGAATAGGACGAAAATAAGTGAAAACTGAAATAAGAATAAGACACAGACTATAAAATAATTTAAGTAGGTAAAAATATGAAATGAAAATAAATGAATACATTTTGATTGATTGATACCTTTATTTTGATCATGTAAATGAAACTTAAAAACAGTTAAAAATAAAAATAAGTGACAATCAGAAAAAGAAAAAAAAAAACAAGACAGTGGCTGAATCTGCAATCCTCTCTTTTTTTTTTTAACCCCCTCAGCTTACATGAGCGAAAAGGTGTAGGAAGAGGTATAAACTTGTCTATCCCCTTAAATTTTGCTTTAACCCCTAACTCAAATCATAACACTGTCTTCAATTAACCAAAAAGAAACACAATCATACCAATTTTATTGTGCCAATCTTTACAAATGTATTTACCATACCCTGCACAGTCTTTCCTCCAAATAATCAACAAGCATCTTGTGGTGATAATTCATCCATGTACCTCTGGAAAATCATTTCTCTATACCTCATTTTAAACAGAATTATGCTCGAAATTTGTTTAAGTTCTTCACTCAAACTATTCCCTAGTTTAACTCCATTAACAGAAGTGTGTGCACAACTTTAGAAAGTTTATGTATCACTAACCTTTAGATTTAGATTTTCTATTAAATCATAACCCCCTTCTCTTTCATGAAAAAAAATTCTGAATGTTTATTGGGTGTAACGGGTATAGAATGAACCCAGTTGCAGCACAAATGAAACAGGTTTTTTCTTGTTTCAAACACTCTTTATTTTGCAGGTAAAGTAGAAACACAGTCAATAATGCAGCAGATCAGGTGGGATTCAGACCTTTGTCTCCTGAGTGGCAGGCAAGCATGTTACCACAGGACCATGGGAAGGCAGGGAGTGTAGGGGATTCGTGAGCAGATAATTGTCCAGAAGTTCACTATGGGCTTAACAAGTGTGGAAGGGGAAAAAGCACAAAGAACTCACTGCTGGTGGAAGTCTGGCTGGACAGTGGTTCAAATGAGGGCAGGGTATGTATCCGAACCTGGAAATGGAGTAGACGGGGCTGACGGCTCCAGAGGAGGTAAGCTGGCGAGCTGAAACTGATGAGGGGGGTCTCTGACAGAACAGGAACAGGCTGAAAGCCAACCAACCACGGGTAGACAAGGAGCAGAAGACAGGCAGGCAGTACTCGTAGTTTGGTACAGAAGGCTGGTGGATCCTTCGGGGCTGAGACGTGAAGCGACGGTCAGAGGCAAGTCAGGTCGATACCAGGTAAGCAGTCTGGAAATAACTTCTGGA